CCTCAGAAGGCACCTTTGTCCCAGGTTGTCCTGGCTTTGTCCCAGGTTGTCCTGGCTGTTTCCCACCCCGTCCTTTCTCTGCTCTGAAGTTGTTCCACGGGATGCTCCGGTTTGCCTCCGTGGGCAGGGAATGACAAAGGCCAGGCTGGCATGGCCGAGCTCCAGGAGCTCCGTGCCAGCCCAGAGCTGCTTTAAAACCAATCAGCACAGCAGAGAAACCTCCTCACACCGTGACAAAGCACCAAACGCCGCTCAAAGCCTGCCAGGTGTCCCCTGTCCGAGGCGCCATGGGCAGCGGGGCTCTCAGGGCGCTGGGGGTGCTGCTGGGTGGCCTCGGCACCGCGGGCACGGTGACAGCCACCGCCATGCCCCAATGGAGAGTGTCAGCCTTCATCGAGAGCAAGCTCATCGTGCTGGAGGACAGCTGGGAGGGGCTGTGGGAACACTGCTCCCGCCAGCCCGATTTACGGGTGCTGTGCCAGCCCTACGCCTCGGTGGCGGCCATGGCGCCGGCCCTCAGGGCCGCTCGGGGCCTCATGTGTGCGGGGACGGGGCTGGCAATGCTGGGGCTGCTGGCTGCCATTGTCACTGGTGTCAGGAGCACGGGGTGTGCCGGGATCACCGGGATCACTGGGATCATCGGGAGAATTGGGATCATCGGGAGAACTGGGATCATTGGGACCATCAGGAGCACCAGGAGCACCAGGAGCACTGGAAGCACCGGGATCACCGGGACCTTTGGGAGCACTGGGAGCTCCAGGATCACCCCGAGCACCAGGATCATCAGGAACACGAGGAGCACCGGGATCACCGGCAGCACCAGAAGCACCGGGATCACTGGGATCATTGGGAGCACCAGGAGCACCGGGATCACCAGGATCACCGTCAGCCCCAGAAGCACCGGGATCACTGGGATCACCCCGAGCACCAGGATCATCGGGGACACCAGGATCACCCGAAACACCCAGAGCTGCCTCACAGCCCAGGCCTGCAGCACYGCGGCCGCCGGGCTCCTGTTCCTCCTGGCAGCCATCGTGGCGCTGATCCCTCTCTGCTGGGTGGCCTCGTCCATCATCAGCGATTTCTACAACCCGTGGCTGAACGCTGTGCAGAAACGGGAGCTGGGCCAGGCTCTCTTCGTGGGCTGGGGCTCTGCTCTGTGCCTGCTGGCTGCTGGAGCCGTGTTCTGCTGCCTCTGGAGCTGTGCTGGGCAGCCCAGGAGCTCCATCCC